TGAGCCATACTGCCAGCCTTGCTTTTTGTTATTTTGGAGGTGGAATCTCAGATTTTTCTGCCTAGTCTGGTTTAGAACCGAAGATCTTACAGATTTTCATCTCTTGAATAGTGAGGATTATAGGTATAAGCCACCTGCCCTGGTCCAAGCCTGCTTTCTTAGAGGTACTTCACATCCCTTTTCTCTGAACTGTAAAATGAAGGACTTGCCTACTTCAGCTCTAAGTTTTTCTTCAGCTCTAATAGTTAATTTCTATTAAGAAAAAGTAGTGTTGCAATGTTAATCTAGATTCCTGGGAAGCATGACTTTGACCAATTTAGGAATTAAAATTTCAGTATCAGTTTGTAATTTGAACTTTTTTCATGCTGGCTTTTAAGCTATCATCTTAGCTCTTTTCTTTCTTTCTTTTTTTTTAGCAGTGTTAAGCTGGTTACCTCAGAGGTGCGGGTAGGTATTGGTTTAATAATCTTTTTTTTTTCTTTCCCTTTTCAGTGAGAGTTTTTTTTAAGTGCTCACCTTTTTGAAGGGCCTGTGACTTTTGTAGGGCATCAACACTTGTTTCCACAAATGTAAATATTACTTGTCAGTTTTTTAAAAGCAAGGCAAGAGGTGTGACTCAAGTGGCAGGGCATCAGCCAATCAAACCAGTCAAGTGATTGTGAAGGGACAGGAAGGAGGGGAGAGGAGAGAAAGGAGAAAGGAAGAGAAAGGGTAGAAGAGGGAAGTAGAAAGAAAGGTTCTTGGAAAGTCTGGCTGCCTATCTGGTAAAGATTCTTTTTAATGAGTAAGTGCATTGGTTTTTCTAGCAAAATCAAATATATGTTTCTGCTGAAGAAAATGGAATGCATTGGAATAGTCAGCAGCAGTTGACAAAACCAACCTAATCTGTGATGTACTGGGCTGTAGAAATGACGTGAGATGGATGAAGATGCCATGTTGCCCAGGTGGCCAGAGGTCAGGGTAGTGAACAGTGCTAGTCAACACCTGAAGTATGGCTGCAGGTGTTAATAGAGGAGAACGAGCTACAAGCTAGCTGCAACTCTTCTTTCATAGGTCCCAGATATCTTGTGTCAAAGGCGGGTTTGAGTTTTTTTGGGGGGGAGTTGTCATGGGGCTTGAACTCTGGGCCTGAGCGCTGCCCCTCATCTCTTCAGCTCAAGGCTAGTGTTCTACCACTTGAGCCACAGCACACTTCGCAGGTTTCTGGTGGTTTATTGGGGATAGAGTCTCACAGACTTTCCTGCCCAGGCTGGCTTTGAACCTCGATCCTCAGATGTCAGCCTCCTGAGTAGCTAGGACTACAGGTGTGAGCCACTGGTACCTGGCGGGCTTGAGTTTTGAATTAGGATAGAAATATGTCTTAGGATAGACCACTTATGCTGACTGCTACTGTTTTCCCTTTGGATGGGGAGAGGAATGTGGATACACCCTGCAACATTCTGAGTTGCTAGTTTTTGGGTAGGCTCTACTGTAACCTTATTGCTGCCTAAGTAATGCTGTACTTGGGGCCTTGTAGAGAATTTTTTTCCCTCTCATTTCCTTTCACTAAAAGTGGAGGATGTGGAGTCATAAGTTGTTGATGGTCTTATATGCTTCTTGTACTCTTACACACTAAGTTGAAGTGCATTTTTACAATACTCTTCTGAGGAGAAACGTTCTGACCATTCAGTAGTATTACAGATACTTTCTTGTGGTCAGATTCTTGGGCTAACATTTATTTTCTCTTAAAAGCTTGTGATGGTAGCATTTCTGTAGGTTATAGTATATAATTGGAAGAGCAGAGGCTGAAGTTAGGAAGGGCCTTGCTGCCATGTTTGTTGCTTTCAAAATTTTGCTTGTTTCAGGTCATTTTAAATTTCAACTCTTTCTAGGATGCCCTGTATGGATAAATGGATAATGTTGGGCAAAGTTATTTCCTGAAAGGACACAATAAAATATATTAAGTAATATAGTTCTTGTGTGCGTACGTGCGCATGTGCGCTGGTCCCTCTTGCTTGAACTCAGGGCCTGGGTGCTATCTCTGAACTTTTTTTTTTTTGGCTTAAGGCTAGCACTCTGCCATTTGAACTATTGCTCTATTTCTGGCTTATTTGGTGGTTAATTGGAGATGAGTCTCACAGACTTTTCTGCCCAGGCTGGCTTTGAACAATGATCCTTAGATCTCAGCCTTCTGAGTAGCTGTGACTACAGGCCTGAGTCAAGAGCTTCTGTAACCCAGCTACCTTTGAACTAAGCCTCTGATGTCAGACTCCTGAGTCTGGGATCATAGGCATGTGCCTGCATGTCTAGCCTAGAAGTACAGTCAGAGTGTTTTGGCTACAAAGAAATAGTATGTGTGTGTTTGAATGTGAATTGTTCCTAGCTTTATGCTTTCTTAGTTTCTGTGCTTGTGAAGGCATGGGTGGTGTTCTTTTTCTTCTTTAGTTGCCATTGAAATCCAGAAAACCAGGCTTTTCAAGTCTTTGTGTGTTTGCATCTGAAACTTTGTATATACAGAATCTTTATAGTGTATGACTTCACAGTTTTGTGTAGTTTGCCTTTTCTTTTTAATATAATCCAAAGATATGCTATGCACTTTGAAAAGGAGAGGAATGTTCTTGGATGTTGTAAAAATATTGTTGCACATGGGAACAAATACATTTGTTGGTAGGGCAGTGTGTATATTCAGGGCATTTTCTGTTCCTTGCCTTTTCCAGGCTAGCTTTTCCAAGATATGTTTGTCATTTATTTTATTTGTAAGGCTAATCTTGTTCTTTAGTGCAAATTAATACTAGTCTTAAAGAATGGAATATTGTACTATATATACTAGAATGTCTTTAGGGATTTATATCAATAATAATAGTAAAGATTAACCACCATAAATCTCTGTGAAATATATATTCCTATGGAATGCATGTATTTACCATTGGTTTAAACTGTCTAGGATTAGATAGACTTATTTAACGGTAAAAGCCTTCTGAATTTGCCTCAATAGTTTTTGTTGTAAATAAGTACTTAATAATTGTATGTGCTTTTTTTTTTTTAAATTTAATTTTATTTGAGTGTGCTTTTTTTTTTTAATGTGAAAATACCATGCAGAGGGGTTACAGTTACATGGGCAAGATAATGAGTACATTTCTTATCAAGCATTGTTGCCTTCTCCCTTGTTTCCCTTTCCCATTCCTATTAGTCTTTTAGTCCTTTAGTGAATACTTTGTCCTGAGTCTCATTTTGTAGTGAGAATCATATATAATATTTTTGAGCATCCTTCTGGAAAGTTCCTGTGCATGCACTGCATTTGTCTTTTTCTAAAGCAGTAGCATACTACACAGTATGCTTTGTGTATTTTAGTGGTGCCCGGGTATCAACCCCAGGGCCTTATGCATGCTAAGGAAGTGACCTTGCTTTTTTCCCCCCACTTAGTATAAATTAGACTTCTTCATATATATGTATTTGTATATATTTCTTCACATATTTTCTAGCTTCTTTTAAATTGCAGTATATTATTCCGGTAGATGCCAGTACCAGATCTTATCTCGTCTCCTCTTGATGGGTATTACTACTTTGCCTAAGTTGAATTTTCAGGACTTATGAACCATCTACATGAGGAAATACTAGGTTTCTGAAGTATATTAATGTTGAATTTTATATCATTTAGTGTCACATAAGTGCATGGGTGTACCTGAAGCCAGGTGTCAGGAAGGGTCGCATAGAGAGCACTGTTAGACTAAAGATTTTCTGTGGGATTCAAGGAGGCTGTTAGAAGCCAGTGTAGTGGGTCAGGTCTGAAGTGAACCCTCCCCCCCCCCCCTTCCTTGACTATGTCTATGTGCTTATGTTTTGTTTTTAACCTCTGTGTGCCATATTTTTGATACTCAGTGGTATAAAATGAGAGATCACTGAGGATTAACACTTGTGAAACAAACGGAAAAAAGAAAAGGATTTTGGAAATGAAACTAGATCGACAGATCAGTATTACAGGTATTTCAAAACCAGGGGAGGGGAGAGTTCAAAGAGGAAGTGATAGTAGAGTCAAAATGCAAAGTGTAGTCAAGTAAGATGTTGGTGACCAATTTGCTTAAAGGTACTAGAAAATTAAAAAAAATTTTTTTCTCTCCCAGGCATAGAAGAATTTAATGCCTTTATAGCCACATTTATTTACCTCAGAGTTCTGCCCCTGCATGGAACAAGGGTATTTTTTTATGGGAATTTGCCATAATTGTATGCCATGCATACCAGAAATGAATGCCTTTGTTAATGCTCTATGAATCTAACAATCATGAATTAAAAGAAATTTAATTGATTTACAGTTTTGGTTTCTATTAATACTTTTCCAATAATACATTTGGCAAAATATTTGGGCAGATTTAATACAAAGCAAAATACCTGAAACTTCAGCTGTTTAACATTGCCTTCAGGTTATACTCCCTTTACTGTAGATTGAGTGGGGCTTGGTGTATGTGTTCCCATCCCTGCTGCTTAGAATATAAGAGATAAAACTATCCTCATTTTGTGTGTCTTGATATCTTACTTAGTTGTACGTAGGGAAAGTTACTTCTCTCCTAGCTTTTATTTTCTTAGAAAGAACTCTCTTTTATTTAGTCTGAACTTTTTAAAAATTTTTTTAATTTTTAATTTTTTGGGTCCAGTCGTTAGGGCCTGAACTCTGGGCCTTGGCACTGTCCCTTAGCTCTTCAGCTCAAGACTAACTACCACTTGAGACACAACGCCACTTCCCGCTTTTTTTTTTTTTTTCTGCTTATGTGGTGCTGAGGAATGGAACCCAGGGCCTCATGCATGCAAAGCAAGCGCTCTACCACTGAGCCACCTTCCCAGACCCCATATCTGAACTTTTAATTGCTGTAAAGATTCAGATTTTTTTCCCCCTAAAGTCTTCTCAGTTGTATGATATGTCTTTGTAAAGTGCACCTGTATTGCTGAAAATACACTAGGTTCTCATAGTCTCTATTTCTTTGATGTTGATTGGGATGGAGTAAAAAGCTGATCATGGCTGGGCATAGGTGACTTATGCCTGTAATCCTAGCTACTCAGGAGGCTCAGGTATAGCAATTGTGGTTTGAGGCTAGCCTGGGCAGCAAAGTCCATGAGACTCTTATCTCCAGTAAACTACCAAAAAGCTGGAAGTAGAGCTGTGGCTCAAGTGGTAGAGCACTAGCCTTGAGAAACAGAAGCTCAGGGACAGTGCCCAGGCTGGCACAAAAAAACAAAAACAAAACCCCAAAGTGGATCATGTGGCAGGTAATGAAATTCCCTTCTTAAAATTTAAAAAACAACAACAAACTTCAAGGTTATATCTTCATGAAGTAAGACATAGTATGAAATAAAATTTTTCTTATGAATCCTTAATAAAGTTTAGTATGTATATTTAGGAAAAAATTAGGTGAACTCTGAGGCAATATGACAAGACAAACTTGGACTGATACTGATTTGTATATATTAGTAAACACAAGAGGAAAGGACATACTAGAATTATTGGAGAAAGCAGTGACAATGAGATTTAAGGTCAGCATTTTTTCAGATATTCAGAAAACTCACTTTGCTGCTTGTTTTCTATAAACATTTTTCAGCTAATTAGCCATATGAATGCTTTTTGTGACTTAAGGGAATTTTAAACACTTTCACATTTGAACTGTGTAATAAAAGACCATCGGGTCATTTTAATTTACACATAGGTTCTTTCAAAAGTGTAATTATATAGCATTGCATAAATGATGAGTGTTGTAAATGTTGATATGTGTTTAATGGTAAATAACATTTTTAACACTTTATAATTATGTTGGCACATTTCAATAGTTTCATCAATATAATGGCAATTAACTATTGCTTTATTTTAGAATATCCCTGGGATGGTGGATGAGAAAGAGCTATTTTGACATGGTGCAGTTTCACAGTATAGAACTGACATAGGTCTGTAGTTGCAATGTGGGTAATGATTGCATCTGAAGACAAGAGCATTGTGCTATTTCATAACCCAGAAGGATAATGAAGTTTGTTCTCGAACTTCTGGCTCAGACATGTTTGAAGTGTTGATCAGATACCATTTTCTAGTTATGGAAGGATTGAAAGATTTTTTTTTTGGTAGGGCCTCTAGATAGTATTACTGAATGTAGAAAGTGTTTTGTTCCTCCATTTTTTTGCTTAATTTTTAAATATTGAAATGTAAGTTATCATACATTTTGAAAGTATAAAATTTATGTAGTGATTTGTAGTTGTTTCATAAAGCTATACAACAACCTACTTACTGTCTAATCTATAACATTTCATCACCTCAAAAAGCAGTGTAAGACTGGGTATGGTGGCTCTGCCTATAATCTCAGATATTCAGGAGGCAGACATTTGGAAGACTGCAGTTTCAGACTAGATCAGACAGAAAGTTAGTCTCACTAACTAACAAGACAGCTGGAGATAGTGGTCCATGCCTATGATCCCAGTTTTATGGGAGGCATAAATATAATCATTGTGGTCCAGGCCAGCCTGGGGAAAAACCTGAGGTCCTGTGTGAAAATACCTAAGGCAGAAGGGGCCGGGGACATTGCTCAAGTGATATAGCACTTGTCTAGCAAGCATAAGAACCCAAATTCAAACATAGTAATCACATACAAACACACAAAAGATCCTATACCCAATGCCAGCCTGTCCACATTTCTTTCTCTTTGCCAGCTTCTACTAACCATGAATCTATTTTCTGATTGCCAGTTCTCACATTTCATATAAATGGAATTATGTGGACATTTGTGCTTGGCTTGTTTCGCTTACCATAATGTTTTAAAAGGTTCTTCCATGTTGTATTATGCATTATGTACTTCATTCACCCATGTTTTTCTTTTTTCTTCCTTTTCCTTTCTTCCCCTTTCCTTCCCTCTCTCCCTTCATAGGTACTAAACCAGCGAACCACCTCTCCAGCCCTTTTTTGTGCTGGTTGTTTGAGTCTTGATATTTTCTTGGGCCTATAGGATCAATTTTATTTTATTTTTTGTACCTATATTGGGGCTTGAACTTAGAACTTTGTACTCTTACTTGGCTTTTTCTGCTCAAGGCTGGCACTCTATCACTTGAGCCACTTCTCTATTTCCTATGATCCTATTTTATACTTTTGGCCATAGCTGTGATGGTAGTACCATTCTGCTAACTTACTCTTGTTGAGGTGGGGCAAACTTTTATGCTCTGACTGGCCTGGAACCATGATCTTCTCTTTCAGCCTTCAAGTACTTAGGATATGGACATTATGCCACTGTACCTAGCTTCCTTAGTTTCTTTCTATGGCCAAATAATAATCTATTGTATGGATCATTCTACATTTTATGTATCTATTCATCAATTGATGGATTTGGGTTTTTTCTACATTTGAGCTGTTATATATAATAGTGCTATGAACATTTATATATAATTTAGTTTTTTTAAACATCTTTTCAGTTCTCTTGGATACATACCTAAGAGAAGAATTGCTGGTGATTTTTATGTTTAACTTTTTGAAGAGCTGCCAGACTCTTTTTCTTTCTGAGTGATTGCGTTAATTTGCATTTCCACTGGTAATGTATGAAGACTTCAGTTTTTCTACATCCTTGCCAATACTGTCATTTTGATGATAGCTGTCCTAGTCGGTGTGAAGTGGTATCTCATTATATTTTGGTTTGCATTTCTTCATGACCAATGATGTGTGCCTTTTCTCCTTTCTTTTATTTGCCCTTTGGCTGTTTGTATATATTTTCTGGAAATGTCGATTGCAAAAACTATTTAGCAGTTCTGGGGCTTGAACCCTTGGCCTTGCTCATAAGCATTCTAACACTGAGCTATACTCCTAACATTGCAAAATTTAACTTGGGTTATATATTTTATTGAGTTGCAGTTGTTTGCATATATATGTATTCTGGATCCTAGTTCCTTGTCACATGTATGATTTACAAGTGTTTTCTCTCATTCTAAAGGCCTTTTCTTTAATATCCCTCTCCCCCTTTAAAAATGTATTCTTTGAAGCACACTGCTTTTAATTTTGGTTTTAAGTCTCATTTTATCTTTTCTTGGTGGAATAATAAGAATATATAAGAATAATAAAATATTATCTAATCCATGGTTAATGAAGATGGGGGGGGTTCAAAACTCTCCATGGATACCAAAATCCATAATCAATTCCCTTATATAAAGTTATGTGTAGTGAGTTCTCCAAGTTACATGTAATTTAAAATTTTATTTATTTATTTTTTACTGTGCTGAGGATCAAACCGCAGGGTCTCTTGTTGGTGAGCTAACTCTTTCTCCCCTATACATTTAGTACCAGCTTGTCAGTTTCTTCAAAACAGCCAGGGATAAGGATTCTACTAAACTATATGAACAGTATTTACTTATCTTTTCCTAAATGAGGGTTAGTGTGGGTTAACTTTCTGTTTATCTATATCTTCAGTTTCTTTTTTTAAAGACTCTTAACAACTAATTTATTTTAAAATAGACAAACTGTTGTAGAATATAGTAACATAGCAATTTTAAATGTGCAGTTTTAACCAGTACAAAGAAAAAGCTAAGCCTGAAGAAACTTCAGTGCATGATCTCTGAACTTCCTAAAATTCTCTTCAGTTTCTTTTAATTGTGTTTTGTAGTTTTTCAGCATACACCTTAAAATTTTTGGCCTGTCCTGGGGCCTGCGCACTGTCCCTGAGATTTTGCTCAAGACTAAGTCTCTACCACTTGAGCTGCAGCTCCACTTGTCGCTCTTTGGTGGATAATTGGAGTAAGAGTCTTACTGACTTTAGTGCCCAGACTAGCTTCGAACATCGTGGTCCTCAGATGACAGCCTCCTGAGTTAGGATTATAGATGTGAGCTACCAATGCCAGCAAGTTTTGAATTTTAAATACTTACACCTATTTTGTTTTTCTATTAATTAGATTGTTCATTGATGGTGTGTACAAATACAATTGATTTTTGTATATTGATTTTCTATTCTGTAGCCATGAACTCATTTGCTTCAGTATATATATTTTTTAATCCTAAGGAATTTGCTGCAGAAAGGGGTAGTTTTACTACTACTTTACCAACCTAGATGCCTTTTCTAAAAATTTCGTTGTCATGGCTAGAACTTTGAGTAAAAGGTTGAAAAATAGGATGAGAGCAGTTATTCCTGTCCTTTTATCTCCCAGTGTTTCAATATTGAGTAATATTGTACAGTGGGTATTTTCTTTTAAACAAGAAACCTCATGTTTCCATTACCTAAAGTTCATTTTGATAAATATAATTTTTATATGATCAGATGCACGTAGGCATATATTGCATCTTTGACGGTTGGTGTTTTGTAGGTGTTTTTTAAAAAATCAGATTGAAGAAGTTGCTTTTGCTGACTATTATTAGTTTGCTGTAGGTTTTCCCCTTCATGAGAGTGTATTGGATATTGTCAAGTGCCGTTTTGAGGTTATTAGATGTTGTCAAGTGCTGTTTCTGTGTCCTAGTGATAATGTGATATTTATCCCTTGACGTAACATTAACTGAGGATTTATACCCCTAGCATTTTGATTTATATTACTTGTTGGCAATATAGTGCTTGTGAAGGTTTTTATATACTAAAAAATATTTTGAGTTAAAGAATGTAAAATTATTTGGTCAAACTAACAAATTGCCTAATAACAACTCATCACTTTGCGTGTGCACATGTGCGTGCATGTGTGTGTGTGCACACGCACGTGTGCATTTGAACTCAGGGCCTTGGTACTGTCCCCTGCTCAAGGTTAATGCACTACCACTTTGAGCTATTTCTAGCTTTTGGTAGTTAATTGGAGTTGAGTTTCACAGGCTGTCTTTGAACTACAATCTTTATACCTCAGCCTCCTGAGTAACTAGGATTACAGGCCTGAGCCAGCATTGCCTGACACAATCAGTTTTAATACTAGGTAGAGTACTGGGGAAGTCAGAACACTGTAGGCACACAGAAATTGATTTGATTGTTTTCCAAATTCTCTATTATATGATATGTAATTAGCACTATTCTAGATGCATTGACAAGAAGTTAAGTGCATTACTTGGGAACCTATTACTTGGAAACAATTCAGCAGATCCT